AAAACACATATTCTTGGAATACAGTCTCAAGGAGACTGTTATGGGGTGATCCCTGGGTCCCACAGAAATTATTTCTTAGGATGGTCCTCAAAGTAATGAACATTCTGAGGCTCACGGACCATGTTGTCCTTGTTCAGTTGCTAAGTTGTGACCGAACCTTTGTGACTCCATGTACTGCAGCATGCCAGGCACCCCTGTCCTTCACTATTTCCCTGAGTTTACTCAGATTCATGTCCATTGAGTTGGTGATGCTAAGAATCTCATCCTCTGTCGTCCCCTTCTTCTCCTGCCCTCAATCCTTCTCAGCAACAGGGCCTTTTCCAGTGAGTCAGTTCTTTGCATCAGGTGGCCAAAGTTTTAGAGCTTCAACTTCAGCATCAGTTCTTCCAATGAATATTCAGGGTTGGACCATGTGGGAGCCCAATTAAATCTGTGTTATGGCCAGCTATCTAATTTCTTTAGTGTTAGTAGTGATAAACTATGTTAACCATTTTGTTTATAAGTTTTAATAGAAACTAGCAAAAGAGAGATTTTCTTTCATCTTTTAGAGAAAAATCAGGTATGCTAGCCTCTGAATTACCACTGTCCTATAGGACTTCTCTGGGAATTGGTGATGGACAGGGAAGTCTGGCGTGCTGCAGTCCATGGGGTCGCAAAGAGTCTGACATGACTGAGCGACTCAACTGAATAGGACTTCTCGCCATGATCGAAATGTTCTGTGTCTCTACTGCTCTCTATCTGTGCTATGCTTGAAACACCACTAGTTCGACTGAGGAATTGAATTTTTAATTTAATTAAAATTCACAAAAAATTTTTTTTCATGATGAAAACTTTTAAGATCTACTCTCTTAGCAACTTTCAAATATACAATAGAGTGTTATTAACTATAGTACCTTTGCCATACATTATATCCCCATGAATTTATATATCCCCATTACTTATTTTATAGTGGACAGTTTGCCTTTTTTAACCCGTTTGGCCTTCTATACAAAAGTAAACAATCTTGTGAAGATTTTAAATTAAAACATTTCAGAAATGCAATTTTTTTCTGGATTTCTAATTCTTGTAGAAACCATTGGTAACAGTATAAATATTGCCATATATCAATACATAGATATATGTACTTTTGAACAGAAATAAGATCATTTTGTATGGCCACTTGATTTTGTCACCAGGTAATATACCTGAGTAACCATAGTTAACTTAATCATTCCACCATTATGGACTTTTATTTTGTTTTTAAATTTTATGACTATCAACAATACTAAAAAGAATATTCTTTTTTTTTTTCTTTTTGCCACACAGCATGTGGGATCTTCACTCCCTCCCTGACCAAGGATCATGATTCCTGCATTGGAAACCTGAAATCTGAACCACTGAGCCACCAGGTAGGTCCCACAAAGAGATCATATCTCTGGTCATGGGTATAAATATTTTTATAGGATAAATTTCAAAAAAATAAGTAAAAGGATATAAACATCATAAATTATGAAAGACAATGCAACTGCACTCCCAAATGGAATAACCCAATTTATAATCCTACCAACAATGATGAGACAGTACCTATTTCCCGTGTTTTCACCAATACCAGACATTACATCTTTAAAAATATTTTTCCAATTCAATAATTGCAAATATTTAATTTTTAGTTTTACTTCTCTATACAGTTGTTTTATTTTAAAATATTTATTGCTTTTTAAAATTTCTTTTGTAAATTTTCTATTTATTGCATTTTTACTCTATAGAAGCTTTACATGGTTATGTAGTAAAATTTACAAATTCTTTTAAGGTTTTGGGGGACAAATAGGTAGTTACTGCTACCACCAAAATAAATTCCATATGGATCAAAGAATAAACTGTGAAGGCTATAAAAGTTCTAGAAGAAAATATGGGATAATATCTTTGGTAACAGAAAATAGACTGGCTTGTAGACATACAAAAAGATGCTCATAAGAGAATCAAAAGTACAGATGTAATGTGATAGCATTTTGTTATCTATTAGATTGGCAAAGTTCAAAAAAGTTTAATGATGAGGATGTTAAGAAACAGAGTGCACTCTCAAAATTTCCATCTGTATTAGGATGACTGTAACTTGTACCACTTCTTGGCTTTGTCCATCAAAATGTAAAATGTTACTCTAACTCATCTTTTATTGCTTCTGAAAGTTTTTCTATTAGTCCTTAGAGTTTGCATATAATTTGCAAACAGATGACAATCCTAACATTTTCAGTGTTTAATTTCTTGTTTCTGTTCCACACCAGTGGATAAAGAATCCACCTGCATTGTAGGAGATACAGAAGACTCAGATTAGATCCCTAGTCCAGGAAGATCCCCTGGAGGAGGAAAATGGCAACCCACCTCAGTATTCTTGCTTGAAAAACCCCATGGACTGAAAAGCTTGGTAGACTATAGTCCAAAGAATGGGAAAGAGTCGTTCACAACTGAGTGACTAAGTACATTCCATGTCTAATTTCATTGGCTATCATTTCCTTACATGGACTGATGGTAGGCATTCTCGGCCTTGCTCCTGACTCCAGCAGGAATTAGCATAGTGGTTCATTATTCAGTTTCTGACTTTGATATAAAATATACATTCTTCAAAACTGTTTATTAAGGAACAATGCTGGATTTTACAAAATCCTTTGCAGTATCAATTAAAGCACACAATTTCTCTCCTTTGACTTAATATAGTCAACTATATAAATAAGTCTTCTATTACAGAATCATTCTTATATACTTGGCATAATTCTTAACTTTGGCATGCATTTGTAATATAGTGCTAGTTCTATTAATATTGTACTTTAATTTTACATTATATCCAAAAAGAAGATTAAACTATAGATTTCTCTTTTGTGTACTCTATCAGGTTCTGGCGTCACAGTCATTTATTTTTAAAACCAGCCTTTCAGCTCATATAAAACACAAGGATCACTGGGAAAAAGCCTGGAGGGCAACCACCTGAAAAGGCCTTAATGCATACACACACAGACACCCACAACACTTTAGTTTTTCTAACTACTTCTGTGAAAATTTCCAAACCATACTCTTTATACCTTCTTTCTGACATGAATGCATAAGTTATCCCAAGTATTATGGATATCGCTTTTCTTTCTAATAAATGCAAGAACTTTTCTTTCAGTAGCAAAACAGAGGAAGGTGTTCCATGAAAGCTTTTATTCTCACAAAACGACCTCTCCCACTCGACCTTCCCAGCCCATACTTAGACCAGAACATTTAAAACCTCCTATTTCAGAAAATGAGGGAAGGGCTAGGGAATTGCTCCAATCCTTCATTTCCGTCTCTAAGTCAACTGGCCTGATCTTCTCATTGTTATTTACTTTCATCACTCTATTCCCGCTGTTGCATTTTGGTTTTACATTTTTCCTGCAAATAAATGTCTTTCCTCAGCTTTGCTTCCTTCATCCCACTCCCTACCCTTCCAAGTCCAATTTAAATTCCTTTCCTCCTTAATCTGACTAATCCAGCCCATTCTACATACCACAGACTTGCTCTCGTTGACTACTGTACTGCATTCAGTGTCCGGCTGCACATTCTGGCTATAATCTCAAATTGTTTCAAGAATGCTAGTTTTCTTTCTTAGGCTTTGCGTTTATCTCCCTAAGGGCAGGGTCCTTATCCTAAAATTCTGCTGTGCATTTTCTATTGTGTTTAGTGCTGTAAGTAATCACACTCAGCCCACATTTGCAAGGCATATTCGACTGAATACATCCACCACAGTTATTCATTTAGTAAATGAGATAATGAAAACGCAAGTGCTCGCCAAAGGTAAATCATTATTATTAATTCCCTCATTCATCATACATGTACAGCAGCCTCAGGGGCTAAGGAGCCTAAAGATTGCAGCTCTTATTTTGCTTCAGATCTCTCCACTTTGGAACCAGCCAAGAAGTTCAGATTCATCTAGGGCTTAACACCGGGGGTCCAAGAATAACTTAACCTTCAGTTCCAATAGTACCGGGTTTACCTTATACTTCTGAGAGTAAACCCAAATTTTTGAAACTCAAATGATGAGATATCCTTTGCTCATGAATTCAGTAAGACTTCCTGGTTAAACTGTGGACATCTAAATCTTTTAGCTTTCAGGAGGGTCATAGCTGCTAGGACATACTTTTACCAAGCTGTAATATGTAGTTCTATAGAAAAATGGGTGTCTTTATTTTATTCCATTATGTCAAACTTTTTACTTCATTTTTTTTAACTTTAGGATTATCTGAACTTCAGAAGGAAAATAACAAGATTTTACATACTTGATTGTTATTATTATTATTATTTCAAAAATATGAGAATGTGAGTTTTCCTGAGGGCATCTGGGGTTGACCAAGTGTTCCAACTCATCTCTGAGGATCACTTTACAACTGTGGGGAAACTCACCGAGCTGTTTTCGTCGACCCCGCCATTTCCAAGTTGCAATATTGCTGCAGGGAACTGGCACAGCCCCGCTCTTTCTCGCATTCTTCTCCTCACCCTTTCAAAGCCCAAATCCGCCCGGTGAGAATATGGAAACAAGGCTGGAGACAGGGGAAGGCAAAGAGAGGGGGAGGGGTTTATTTAGTTTCACAGAGGAAGAGCAGGGCATTTTCCCATTCTCCCTCGCATTCCCCAGGGCCATAAAGTTCTGTTTCCGAAGCTGGAAGTGTGGCGGCGGTCGGCGGCACTTTCAACTTGGCCTGAAATTAGGAGTCCACCCCGGAGGGGCTAGGAACTTTTCCTGCGGGGCTATCAACCTGAGCTTCTGGCAAGACAGAAGTTCGCGAAAAGCCAGGCCCAAGGCACCGGTTGTCATAGGAACCTGGGCGCCGGTCTCCTCGGCGACCTCGTCTCTAGGGAGGGGGCGGGGCTGAGGGGCCGTCGGGCCAATGAGGTCGAGGGGACGGCGGGATCGGAGATCCGCGGGGCTCCAGGAGTCAGAGAAGGGTTGATTGACAGGGACTGGGGCGGAACCGGGCGAGCGCTAGAGGTGGAGCCCGAGTAGAGCCGGGAGCTCCCGCAGCCGCGGCGCGGCCGGGGTGACACACCGGGATTACCGCCCCGAGAGACAGTCGTGGCGGGCGAGCAGCGCTCCCCGGCTTCCCTGTTTGCCTCAGGCGTATCTCGGCAGCGCTCGGAGCCGGCGGCCGGGGTTAAGCAGCCCCGCTCCGGAGGGTTTGGGGAAGCCCTTGGAGGCGCGCGGGGCAGCCTAGGTTGCGCTAGCGCTCCGGGGTCTGGCGGTCGGCCGGGGTCGCCGCCGGAGCGGTGTTTCGGAGGCGTGGAGGAGGAGGAGATGCTGCTTCTCTTCCCCCCCTCCCCAGGCTCCTTCTCCAGCTTCTTCGGCCCACGCCCGCAGCCGCTTGGGGGAGAGGAGGTGGTGGCTCTCGGCGCCCGCGGCGGCTGCCCGCGGCCCGCCCCGACGCCGCGTCCCGGCTGCCCTTGCCCCGTGCGCCAGTAGCCGGACCGCGTCTCCGGACGAGCGGGTAAGGACGCGCGCTGCCCTGCGCGCTGGGCTGGAGGGGCGCAAACTGCCAAACAAAGTGCGCCGCGATCTCTCTTCCTCCTCTCTCTGTTTTGTTTTTTTTGTTTTTTGCTCCAGCTCCTCAAAATCAACCTCTCTGTGGCCCTGGTGGAAGGAACTTTTCTTTGGTGGGCCTGGTGGGGGTAGGAAGGATGAGATGCTGTTTGCTTGTGAACTAGGTAGATCCGCCTTCTTGGCGGAGGAAAGCCGGATCCTTGGGAATTAAACCCCAGAGGGGATGAGTACAGAGATTGTGGGGCAGCCGAGAGTGACATTACCCGCATCGTGCTACGCCAGCTCTGTGCGTGCCGAGGGAAGGGCTCCCGGAGTCTGTTTCTCATTTCTGTAAATGATTGTGGACGTGGTGTGGTTAGAGGCCGCCCAGAAGAATGTGTATATGTGAGGGTTCGAAGAAGAGGGGGTGGGGTGGTGGGGAACAGAGAGCAGAGGGACGGACACTGCCTGATGCAAGCTCTTTTATTGCTCTTCTGTGCGTTCTGGAGTTAGCCACCCCTCTCCTCGCCGCCACCCCCCCNCCTGTGCTCTTTGCAAGATGCTGTAGTACCGAAAGCTAAAGTTTGGTAGAGGCAAGAAAGTTTTTACGAAGTTTAATTTCCCTGTATTGTAAGTATATTGAAGAAGGAGGAACTGGGAGAAATATTACCACTAAAATAGATTTACAGCAATACAGTTTTCGTTGGCCTTACGCAGAGATGATCGACTCCTCCACGCACTTGGGCAGCTCATCTGTTCGACAGCCTGTGTCATTTTCGTTTAATTGCATCTTTGAAACAACAAACGCGGTGACTTCATAGGGAGCTTCCTGGAGCTGAGTTTACCTCTCAGAAAATGGGGCAATCGGGTTTGTTTTCAAGGCGGGGACCTAAACAAAATGTAGGACACCTGATCTGTGGGTTGACGGGCACAGGTAACTAATTAAAACGATTTTAAAATTTAGATCTACAGAGGCTACTAAAGGATTGGGGGGACGGGGTGGGGGGAGGAAAGAAGTTATTGCATTATGAAACAAGCCTTGGTATTTTCCCAAATTCTTGATGACTGGGTTGGCAGGGTCAACGTGAAAACTTGCTTCATGCTCATTGCTCGCTTGTGTTGTGCTGTGGTACAGATTATTTCTTGTGTTATCATCAGCATCAGTAAGTTCTTGTATGTATTGATTCAGTAAATTCGCACAGAGGCGAATGGACTGCTTTACGATCCAGTTTTAAGTTTAGTTTACCTTTTTCATAATAACTTTGTGTTCTAACTTTGATGTTCTAGCGGCTTTGTGGGAGTATGTGTGGGGGAGATGGCAGAATGGAAGCAGGAGTTAAATAGAAAAAACATCTAGGTTAGTTATTAAGAAAAGGAACTAATTTGTAGTGTGTTTCACTTTACAAGAACTTATTTTTTAGCTCTTATGTAGTTTGTCTTGGATTAACATTTGTTCCGCCAAAACTTTTACTTGCATGAGAAGCCCACTTATTTTTAGGAGAGTGATTACCATCATTTAAAAATATTTATAAATGGCTTTTCATGTCACAAGTAGCGCACATACGCAAACCATAAAAATCAGTGTCAATTGCAAGGATGGACTTTGATACTATAATGGGATCAAAAGTTTTAAAACCTACATTATTTTTTCTGGAGGCATGCCTCAAATGAAAAGTGAATGTGAGAATTAACTAATCAGTTATTTTCAGTAAATGATAGGTATCAGTCTTGAATGTAATTTATGTTGTTTTTTTTTTTTAATTAAGAAGAACAGGTCAAATCCTTGCTTTGTTCTACTTTAGTAGGTCAAGGATGGAATGAGGAACATTGTAACTTCTCCTGTATCAGTTGAGTGTGTATTTTTTCAGCCTATCTTATGGCCCAGCCCAGACTTACTAGAGAAAGGGATTGCTGGGGATAAGCCTCTGCTGCTGCTTCCTTTTTATTTTTTATTTATTTGGACAAGATTTTGTAATTTTTAAATAAACTACAAAACACTTTTGTGGTGCAACTAAGTTGTAATTAATACCATTGAAATCAAAAGGAAACAGTGTCATACCTCAAGCCTGTGAATCTAGAAGTTAACTCCTGTCAACATTTTCTTATTTTTGGAATATGCTTTGGGAGAAGTCTGTGCCATGAATTAGAAGAGTGGGTTGAAGGTTTTCTCTTGTCAGGCCTCTGATGTAACCAAGTGTGACTCATTTGAGTTGATGTCCCTTTGCAAGGCTGGGGCCTGAAAAAGGAGAAGGGATATTGGGTCTCAGGACTGAAGAGTTAGTGCTGATGGGGAAGGGTGAGGGTCTCTGCGCTCTTTCCCATTTTTTCCACTGACAGCTTTTCTTAATTTGAAACTTAAGAACAACCCAGGAACTGCATTTAAAAAGCTTTTAATAAGCAAATTATTATAGAACGTTTAATGGTCTAAGTTAAATTAAAAGTAACATAGTCAGTGTAAATTTGTTTATTGTTGCCCAGGAAATCCTATGGACAGACTCACTGTAGGTATGTCACATCAAAACTGTGGTCTGTAATTGACAGAACTTACAGTTGCAGGGGGAAGGATGAGGGAAGGGGTGGTTAGGGAGTTTGGGATGGACATGTACACATGCTATATTTAAACTGGATAACCAACATGGTTCTACTGGGAACCATGTTGAGCAGGGAATTCTGCTCAAAGTTATGTGGCAGCCTGGATAGGAGGGGAGTTTGGGGGAGAATGGATACATGTATTTGTATGGCTGAGTCCCTTTGCTTTCCACCTGAAACTATCACAACATATTGGCTATACTCCAATACAAAATAAAAAGTTAAAAGAAAACAAAAAACTGGTCTGTAAACTGCTCTATCAGGAAAAGTTCCAGTAATCCTGTGAGTCTAGGGGGCAAAATGAAAACCCCTGTCTTATTACTGTTTAGTGTCAGGCCCTGTGACTACGCAGCCTGTACGAAGGCTGGATGACAGTAGCTAATCGCTTGTGAGGCAGTAGGAGACCAATTATTTAACTTCTTAAGGTAGAAGGACAGCAACTCCTATATGGCCTAGTGCAGAGGCTGGTGGAGATGTGAACCACAGATGAATGTGGTTTTTCCCCCCAGGGTTTGCTTAGGAAATACAGGAACTGGTTTAAGCACCTGTTTAAGGATGTTTGCCTTAGCCTGTGCTCCACCACTGAATCCTGCTTTTTCTTCATTTTTCTTTCTTTGATTCCAGTATGAGAATTTATTGAAACAGACTTCCTGAGAGAGAATTCTGCTGTAGTGTAAAGAATGTGGACTTTACTGTTTGAGAAACATGTGCCCAAATCCTAGGGAACATCTTTATCTTTATTTTCCACATCTATAATTTAATAATACCTACCTCTCATAGTATTTTGAGAATGAAATTAATAATATATATAAAAGTGGCAAGTACAAATTGACAGTAGTTTATTTCCTCCTTTTTTAATCTCTTTTACATATTTGAACAACATTCAGTAATAACAAAAACTTATGCTGGTACACCCAAATTATTCCTGAATGTTTAGAACATGTAACTCACCATGGTCCTCAGGGTGAACTTGAATCTGGATTGCTGAAAGGCCCTCTTGCCTACCAGCAAAAAAATATCTTTGGTTGTATACTGCATCTGTGCTTATTAAACAGTTTCTTATTTTCTTTCTAGTTTAGTGATACTCTGGTTGCATGATAGAATCACCTGGGTGGCTTTTAAAAATTTTAATGCTCAGGACTCAATTCAGACCAATTAAACTAGAATCTTTGGGGTTAATACCCAGACATACATATTTTTGGAAGCTCCCTAAGAAATTACAATGTGGAGCCAACTTGTGAACCAATATTCTAGTCCTCTCTAGAAGGTTAGCATAGAAAATTCGATTCTCACAAATGTAGCACCAGTATTGTTATATTATGTACTTTCCTCTACATAAATCACAAGAATTTAAAGAAAATAAACTTACGTCTCTGTGTATATACCCATCTACAGGCTTTTTACTATTTGAATCAGAATGTAAGGTATAAATATTTCCCTCCAGTTCCTTAAAGCTGCACATGTTAAATTTAAATTAATTTAATTAGATATCATTTAAAGTTCAATTCCTTATTTCACTGAACAATTTTTTTAAACCATATTATTGAGGTATAGTTGATTTACAATGTTGTGTTTAGTTTCTGACTCAATTGTATATATATTTTTCATTTTTTTTCCATTATGGTTTATCACGAATATTAAGTATCATTCCTTGTTGTTTATGCATCCTATAATAGTTTGCATCTGCTAATCCTAAACTCCCTCCCCTCACTAACCAAATTTTAAGGGCTCAGTAGCTACTTTTGGCTAGTAGCCCCTGTAGCGAACAGCTCGGCTATGGAACATTTCTGTCACCACAGAAAGTTCTGTATTACTTAGAGATTTTGAAATTTGTATTCCAATTTCTCCGTTGAAATGAGATATATGTGACATATATATAGTCTTTCTGTCAGATTTATAATTAAAAGTATATATAGTATTATTTTTGAGAGTTTTTTTAAGGAGCAATGCCACATTTTTTGATGCTAATATTTCCTCTTTCTTCAGGTTCTTGTACCTAGTTGTGAGGTTTTCTTTCGCCAAGTTAACTGAAAGGAGGAACTTGAGTGTCCTTGTTTGTCATTTATATCAGTATGCTCTGAATCTAAACAGTTTCAGGAAACAGAGAAATTCATCAATTCAGCCTAAGTGCTGGAATTTGATTCAAGGTTTTTCTTTCTGGAGAAGGTTCTTTTTTTCCTTTGGCAAATGAAGTCTCTTAGTTGTCATATATGATATGATTGAATTTTCCAACAGAAAATCATCTTTAGTTTTAACATGACCATGCATGAGAGACTTTTTCTTCCCAAAAGAAAAAAATCCCCTTTAACAAAAACGAGGTTCCTAAACAGTTTGAGATGTTTGAAAGCTAACGCTATGTCATCAGTTTTAGTGGTATTT